TCCCAAATTTTTGATTTTGTCTCCTTCAGTTTCTCTATTTAAAAAAAAATTATTTTTTTGAATTTTCAGATGTCTCTTTGAGCTTTTTTTCTGAGATGCTTATCACATGTCCAAAATCTATCCTTCGTTTCTATTTTATATTTTTATTTTTTCATTTTTTCCTTTCTGTAAGTAGGATATTATTTATAAAATCTTGATAATTCTTTGAGAATTGCAATGAAAAATAATGAAAAACAATGTGGATTGTTAGGAGACAGGAAGTGAACTGGAGCAGTCCACAGTTCTGATTTAGCTATGTCATTGGGGCATGTGTTTCTAGTTGAAGCAAAGCCTGAGAAGTTGCAGATTTTCTGATGACATAGCACTTGTTTGCTTTTCATTTTTCATCTTGCTTTATTTCTAATAGTATTCTTTGGTTAGGAAGCTATGTTGTAAGTGATATTAATGGCATTTTACTTTCACTACAGTTCTATGATACCAAATAAATCTCTATAGGTACATTTCCTGCTTCTTTGGTGACCCAAACATAGCCATAGAACTTACAAGTTCTTGACCTAGGAGTTCTTATCAAAGAAACTATTGTATAGTATTTTCAGGATTCTGATGACTATGTGAAAATCTGTAGTTAATGAAATTCTGAGAATTAATTTGTTAGTTTTTAGTTTTCTCCTTGACTACTATCCAAATTCTCAGTATTTGGATGGCCTATATATTACTTTGCAGTTAAGGGATATGACCATGTTCTTTTTTACTGAAGCTGTTTTCCCCTTTATAGATTCATTTTGTATTATTTTTGCTTTATTTCAACAAAAGGGAGTAGAATACAACAAATGCATCTAATATATTAGCTAAATTTGATACCAAGATCTATACCTTGAGAGATAATTGTACAGTTAATGGTTTACAACACAGGTAATAAAAGCAGACAGTTAAGTAGGAAGCTGTCAAAATAGTCTAGGGAAGGGACAGGAAAATGTGAAGTAGGGTATCATTAATGAATTGAGACAAAGCTGTGGATTCATACATTTTTGTTTAATAACTAATAGATTTGGGAAATTTTGGACAAGTAGATGAAAAAGGAGAAGGTAAAATAATAGTCTAATGTTTCTGAATGTAGTATATGGAAGAGTATTAGCATTGGAAATGGAAGAGAATTTTGGAAGAAAGGTAGATTTGGGGATGAAGTTAAGGAATTTGCATTTAGACCTGTTGAATTTGAAGGTGTTTTATAAACAATTTGAAAAAACATTTTTAGATCTTGGAACTTGTAGTCTACTGCTTGGAAGTAATAGTTGAAAGCTTGGACTAAGTAGGCAATATGAAGTGAGCAAAAAGTGAGATTAGAGAAAGGTAACATGGTGACCCTTCCAGGCTGCTCTACTACCGCCCCTAGTGCCAAGGAATAGAGCCACCCCCAGCACTGAGGGAGGAGCCTTCTGGGCTGCTGTACTACTACTACCCCCAGCGCCAAGGAGCAGAGCCACCCCCAGTGCCAAGGAGGAGGTGAGCCTTTCAGGCCACTGTACCATTGCCCCTAGGGCCAAGGAGCAGAGCCACCCCC